GAATCTTCCCTTCATTGCCCCAGAGAGGCTTGGGGACCCGTCTGCCTCCCCCAGCCACTTCACAATCACTGTTTAAACTTGGACTGCACCAGCCTGTTTCCCTCTGTCCCCCTCCTCAGGGTTATCTGTGTCAATAGTGGTGCCTGGCACAAGGTAGGTGCTCAGTAAACAGGATGAATGAATGAATGAATGACTCACAGCCCAGCACTGTTTAGCCTTTAGGCCCACAATGCCTAAGGCCCAGAAGCTTTTCAAAGGCCCGGGAAAATGGAAGACCTGAAGCAGTTTTTTACTGGTTCCAAAATACAATGCAGAGGGTAATTAACAAACAGTTAATGAAATGTTGACCCACGTGACGGCCTTCAACTGGACAAACCGAAGCCACCACCACTCGTGGCTGTGGGTAAAGTATATTGCCATGGAGTGTGGGATGTTAACTGGAGGGGGACACTGATGCTGGAAGGGGGCCCAGCAAGACCCCAGCCGGCCCAGCGCCCCCAGCCTGGGCAGTGATGGCCCCCTTCCGAGGCTGCCTCCATGGTTTCCTGCCACCAACCCTCAGCCAAGGTCAGGGACTGCTCAGACTCTGCAGGAGCTGGGCAGAGCCATGGGGCCAGATGGGCGCACTGAGCCCAGGAAGAGGGAGGGCGGGGTCTCAGTGACACAGCTTCCCGTCCTGGTGGAGGGGGACAGGGTGGCCCCAGTGCCAGCTGCTCAGGCCTCCTGGATGGACATTAGCTGCTTTGAGGGTCATGGTTGAGACAAACGCCCTGGATTGAGTTCCCAGTACTCCACCCACAAGCTGGGTGACCTTGGGGGAGTTACTTGATTTCTCCGAGCCTTGGCTGCCTCCTCTATAAAGGTCTCCCTGGGAGGATTAGGTGAGATAATACACGGGAAACGCATAAAGCAGGGCCGGCTGCCGTGTAGGGAACTCTTCCTTGTAAATGTGAGCTCTGTCATGTCCGAGAGCAGCCCTTCCCAGAGCAGCCGCCCTCCACGCCTTGTCCCAGCGGTCCGGGCGCCGCCCCACCGCGCCCAGCCCTCGGCCGATCAGCACGCCGCTCCTCTGCGGCCGCTGTGATTGGCTCAGAGGTGGGCGGGGACCCAATCCCGGCCGAGCGAGACGCGGGAGACACTCCGGCTGCTCCGCAGTTTAAGCCCGGTATCGGGGCGCGCCTGAAGCGCCGCCCTGCAGTTCTCGGTTTGCACATCCTCATCTTAGTTTTGCTTAAGCTACTTGGGGCCGGTTTTCTATGCGTCGTAGGTGACAGTCCTCCCCAACTATACCTGGACCCTCGTCCTTGCCCTGGCAGAGCTAGATGAGTGTGTCCCCACTCCGCACACCCCCACCCCCAAGTCTGCGCCGAACACAGCGCCAGAGGGACTTATGGACCCGCCTTTGGAATCCTCTCTCCCCTGCCCCCAGCCCCGCCCACGCCGTATGGGCCGGTCATGGGTCCCTCTCCCAACTAATTTCGGATGTGGATCTCTGCAGCCTGTTCGGAGGCTCCCGTTAGCCACAGCCTTGCGCTGAGGGGACAGCAGGGACGGGAGGGCTCTGGGGTCTGATCCTCTGCCAGGTGCGGGCTGTGCAGCCTTGGGGTGGCAACTCTTGTCTCTGAGGCCCAGAGGCCCCTGTGCTTCTCAACTTGGAGGGATTTACCAGCACTGCAATTAATTACCTGTCTGTGTCGCTCTCAGTTAATTGCCTGTCTCCCGGCACCTGGAAGCTCGTAAAGGCTGATGGGTGGATGTGTGCCCAGTGCCTGCACGTAGTCGGTGCTCAAGAAATATATGTTGAGCGGAGGAGCCCCTGCTTCTCACCTGAGGAACGGAAACTTTGATAGCCTGTAAAGATGAGCGGGGGGCATGTGTGCTCTGGGCTTCGGCCATAATGGTGGCCTCTTCAAGGGGGACGATTTGTTACTGTTATGAAGGAGGTCCCAGCAGGGGTTCCCTGTGGACAGTGACTTCACCCAAAGGAAGTGACATTAATGGCAGCATGACACTGGTACAGCCAAGGGAGGAGGGGGAAGATGGAGGCAATGATCTGAGGGCTCCACAGCCAAGCTGGAAGCCGGAGCCCCCCCCCCCCACCTGGGCTGTTCCTGGCCCAACTCTGGTGGCCAAAGCGATCGTTTGTCTGCTGTGCCCAAGGCTGGGTAGTGCTGAGCTGAAGACACCCGAGCGTCCCCCAGGGTGGACACAGCTTCTGCCGAGAAACTGTGGAGACCCTGCCTGCACCCCCTCCCCTCCATCTCGCCCTAAATGTGCCAACAGACAATGGGAGTAAACATGCCCAGCCCACACTGCCCCACCCCAGGGTGGGGCTGGGGGTGGAGGGAGAGTTAGTGCCTTAATATGGAGCTAGTTTGGGTTGAGACAGTTCCCGTCTTCATGCTGGGGAGATGAGGGACCCTAGGGACCAGCCGCTGCCAGGGGTGTGGCTGGGTCCTCCGCCAGCCCTCTCTGAGGGGCCCGCATGTAAGTTGCTAATAATAGCAATGATAGCAGCAGCAGCAGCAGCTGGCTATGTGCCAGGACTATGTGAAATGCTTCCTATCTCTGCATCCTCACAACCCACTTGTCATTAGCCCCACTTTACAGACAGAGAAACTGAGGCTCAGAAAGAAACAGAGACTCAGAAAGCCCCTTGCTCCAGTGAGCCAGCTGGAGTCAGTCTAACTTGCTGGCCGCACTCTGGACCTCCGCTCCCTGGGGCCCCTCGGGCACATGAGGAGGCCACCAGGCTCCAGCCCTTGGCTACCAGCTCCCTGGGGCTGCTGCCCTCCTGACCAGGACCACGTCTCCTCCTCAGAGACCTGCCTGTACCCATGGGAAGGTGGAGGGAGGAAAATCTTCCGTGCCCAGGGCAGCCCCACTCTCCCAACCTCTGCTGTGGTTCTTGGTTTGAAGAAAGCAGAGAACATTCGCCCCAATCCCCGCAGAGCCCAAGAAGCCACCATGGAGCTCTCCAGAGCCTAAGGTTCTTCTGCGGGTGCTCCGAGCTAGCCCCTGGGTGCTGAAGGGGACACACCCCGCCTTTGCCCTCTTTGGAATGGGGCTCGTTTGGCCTTCCTCCCTCCTCCCTGACCTGAGCTCCATCCCACGCTGTCTTGTAGACCCACTAGTCACTTAGATGTCCATCTGGTTCTGGTTTTTGGGGAGTGGAGGGAGAAGCTGAGAGCTGGCACCCGATGGGGGTAAACCTGATCCCTTCACTTCTTTTCTTGGCACCCCAAGCTCTGTGCATTTCCCCCTGCCACCCGCCTCCACAAATCCCAGGGCTGCCTCATCATCACGGAACCTGCTGCTATGGCCCTTTGGACATCAGGGTCCTAGGCAGAGAAAGGAGACAGCATCGAGATCAGCTTTCCCACAGTGCAAACGCCATGTCGAAACCAGCTTTTCTGGAGCCTAGGAATCAGTTGACTGTGCGCGTGCATACGTGTGTGTGCATGTGTGTGCGTGTGCATGTTCCAGACATGTGGTGAGAACCCGTCTGTAATCCCCGAGGGAGTGTATCTGAATATCTCAGCCTTCCTCCTTGAGCCGTCTTATCCACAGACCTTCCAGAAGTTGCAATTAATCTCTAATTTGAATTTTTAACCTCAAATGCCACATTATAAAAATAGTTGTGTTGTGTTTTATAGATGACATTTGTCATGAAATTATACATGGTTACAATTTGTGCCATGGAAAATAAAGCAAAATGCTCGTTCTGCACGGGAGCAGAGGTCAGTTCCAGCCAGGCTGCGGCTGCAGCAAATCAACCCCATCCTTCCAAAGAGGGGACCCCAGGTCCCCCGGCAGGGCTGGGCAGGGGCTGAGGGGTCTGGGTCCCATGTCCGTTGGGGGGGCACTTGGAGCTGGATAAGCTGTCTCCTTTATGGAAAGCATAGGTACCAGCAAAGGCCACCAGGGCCAGCTCCTGGGACCCAGAACTCTGTTCCTCATCTCAGCTCCTCTTCCTGTGGGGCCTTGGGAAATTTATCCCTCCTCAGTTTTTCCACCTGTGAAAGGGGCTTGACAGTCCTCAACTGTGCATCTGCCTCCTCCTCCCAAGTACCAGGGAGAGTGAAAGAGAAAGCAAACTGGTGTCTACCGAGCTCCTCCTGAGGCCAGATGGGCACAGAGCTGAGCCCTCCTGCTTGATTTCATCAACTCCTCTGAACAACTCAAGCCCCACGTACCATCATTATGCCCATTTTGCAGATAATGAATTTGAGGCTCAGAGAAATGAGGCACTTTCCCAAGATCTTCCAGTAAGCAAGGGCGAGGTCAGGGCCAGAATCTCACAGCTAAGCCAGGCCCCTACTGGCAGCATGTCCTGCCCTGAGAAGGTGGGGGACCTGGTGGAACTTTCTGGGGCTGGCTCTCTGTTTCTACACCTGTGTCACCATCAAGTTGCATGGGGGACAGTCAGGGCTGTCCCTGTCCCAGGGTCCTGGCCCGCCTGCCTGGGTTGAGGAGCAGCTCTGCCAGCAACCCTCCGCTCCAGTGTTTCCACATCTCTGACCCGTCCCTTCCTAAACCAGCCTGGAGAGGCTGGGTGAGGTTAGAGCGAGCACAGTCTAGAGGCTCCAGGCCAGCAGGGGTGGGGAACACCTCGAAGACAAGGATCTAAGGCTTGGCACCCCCAAGTCCTCAATGCATAGCCCATCTCTCTGGACCTCAGCTTCCTCGTCTGGAAAATGGGGCCGTAAGACTGCCTACCTCCTAGAGCATCTGGGAGGAATTAATGAGATGATCCACATGGAGGGGTTAGCACATAGTAGGTGCGCAATAAACGGCCCTGACTGTTGGGATCTCGGTGACGAAGACAATGATGAAGATAAATGTCACAGGGGCAAGCCCCTCCCATCCGTCATCCAGCTCCACGGCCCTGATTCAGTCACAAGCACCCTAACTCCCTCCACTCCTCCAGGGGCGCAGGGCTTGCAGCCAGACAGCCCAGCCAGCGTTCCTCGTCTTGCTGACGGATCTGCTAACGAAACCTCCATCTCGGGGCCATTGTGCTCTATGGCACGAGGCCCCAGTGTTGGGTCCGGGACTTCGGTGCAGCCGTCCTGCAAATGGCAGATTGGTGAGCCTGACACTGGGCAGGGGGACCTGCCTGCCTCTGGCTCTGGACAGCTCCTGGAACCTCTCCTCCCAGACTCGGGATCTCAGATCTCAGAGCAGCTGGGCCGCCGTGGCCAGTTAGCGCTTGGGATCAGCTGCTTTGGAGACAGGGGTGCCCCAGGAGGCTCTGGGCAACTGGGAGCCAACTGCTGGTCCCAGGTTAACCATCACTTCCCACACAACAGGGAACACTCGCTCACCAAGAGAGCTACTGGGGAGGGCCCGGGTGCCCTGGACACTCCAGATGCCCACAGGTGCACAGAAAGCATTCCCACCGCTCTGAATACAGAAATGGCAAATCTTGAACCAGGTTTTGCTCATTGCCCCTTTCCCACCGCGCCCCCTCCTACCCTTCTCCTGGAACAGCCAATCTCTTTCTCACTCTGAGCCCCTGTATCTGCTGTTCCCTCCACCTGGAGCACCCTTCCCAACCTCTTCGCCTGGCTAACTCCACTCATCCTTTAGGTGCCTTCTGAAATTCCACTTCCTCCAGGAAGCCTTCCCTGAACCTCCGGACCAGGTAAGGGGCCCCATTATCTGTTCTCATAGCAGCCAAGACATCTCCTTCATAGCAGGGACCACACCTCCCTTGTTCCCTGCTGGGACCCCAGCATCCAGCCCGAGGCCTGGCATGGAGTAGGTGATCAACAAGTATAGGTGGGAGGAAGGAGGGAAGTGTTCATGGGACGCCTCCCCTATTTTTCCTCCCCTGAGAGAGAAACCGGGCCCTTAAAAAGGCAGCCCCCTTGAAGCTCCATTTGCTGCAAGAGCAAACAAGTGTTCTTTAAACAATGACCCTGCTTTTGGTCGCATTAGAGCCTCATCTTTTCTTTTTTCCTTCCTGGTGAAACCAGAGGAGTCCGTTTTTACTTCTTGTCTCTGGCAATTTCCCGCTTTGAGCCCTGACACTCTCCTCGCCTGGGGCGGGCGGGTGGCAGGGCAGCCTGCTCCCCGGGAGAGGCTGGCCTTCCAATTAAAACATGATGTTGCTCAGAAACACAAGATTTCCGAAGGTGGGATCGCTCCCCGGCCCCCAGCCCCAGCCCCTCCATCACAGCGCAGCCCGGAGCCCTCCTGCCTGGCTGCTGTGAGTCAGGCTCTGCACAAGGGTGTCCCTGGAAAACTGGCGCCTTGCTTAGGGCGCTGCAGAGGTTTCCGGGTGAGAACTGGGGAGACGGGAGGCACAGGGCCTTCCTGGCAGGGCTGGGGCTGCTTCCAGCAAGAGGACACTGAGGCTCCTTCGGCACCTGGGGGCCCGGCACAGGGTGGCCAGCATTGTACCTGGGCTCTGGACATCATTGCATATCTCCTGGGTGACCTTGGGCAAGCCACTTTGCCTTTCTGAGGCTCAGTTTCCTCATCTGTAAGGTGGGGATAATGCTTCCCCTCCCTCTTGAGAGAATTTGGCGAGAGGCTGCGTGTGAAGCGCTGAGCTGGGAGCCAGGCAGACGTGCCGAGCTGGACCGCAGGAAGCCGCGCTGCCCTCGCACTCTGCTCCCTGGTTAGGGACCTGCTCCCGCCTGTCCATTGGTGTTTTCCCAGCACGCTGCCTCACAACAACACGTGTGCACTGAATGAATGAGTGAATGAATGGGTGAATTAATGAATCCCATCCAGTTTTCTTGGAACCAAAAAGGAGGCCTATCGTGGAGCGGGACAAGGAGGCGAGGAGTTTCACATACGGTCTCTTAGCGGAAGGCAAAAAGGCCTGTTTTCTGGGGCTTCATCACGAGGGGAGTCAGGGAACAAAGTGCCAATTTGTCTTTTCTCCCACTTTTGGGACCTTTTTTCCGGACTTTTCTCCCTAGTCTGGGCTGCAGCCCTTCCTTCTGCAGGTTTGAGGCCAGATCCCCCTGAGCCATGGGGATGGTGCCTCAGGTCCTGGGGAGGCAGCCGGCTCTCCTGGCCCCCATCAGGGGAGACATGCTTCTAGAGGCCCCCCTGGTTTCCGAGCCCATGGGGAGGTGGGGGGGCTTTGAGGGGCACCTGGCCTCGGGGAGCAGGGTCAGCCCGCTTTCTCTCACAGACGAGCTCATCCTCTGCCCTCAGCGTAGACTCAAAGCCCTCTGAGGCAGGGGGCTGTGTCAGAGCCCTTTCTGAATGCCCACCACAGTCAGCTCAACGTGCACTCCTCACTCCGTGCTTCACAGGGTCGGGAAAGGGTGTAGACCCTGAGGCTCCAAGCCTCGCTTCTCCACCACTGTGTAACCTTGGGCAAGTCGCTTCACCCCTCGGAGCCTCAGTTTCCCCACCTGTAGTCATAATGGCAGATGCCCTTTCTGAGAACTTCTCACGTTCCTCCGCTTCCAACATTTCTCTAAATGCTTAAAACTACCCCACAAGGAGGCACGGTTCTTCTCCTGTGACAACTGGGGTGCTCAGAGAGACGAAGAAGCTTGCCAAGGGCACACAGCCGGTCAAGGCTGCTCCTCTGGTGGAGGGCTGTGAACCCCGCCATTCAGGGGCACTGCCCCCATCAACAGACCCTTGGATGACAGGGTCTCACGGTGAGAAGAGAGGGGTGAGTGACTGGGTCGGAGGAAGGAGGCCCCCAGGTCTCACAGGGCGCAGGGGGAGGCCCCGGAGAGAAGGGGAGCCCGCACCCCCCTGGGGCGGGCAGCAAACCCTGAGCCCCGCGCGGCCTGGCTACCCGCTGGCTGGACCGGCCGCCCATGGCCCCATCTTGAGCGCATTAGGGGCTGCTGTTCACAGATGTTTTGTGTTACATGTTATTTGTTAGTCTAATGAAAGGAGGTACACTCGCTTTCAAGACCTCGGCGTTCGGCGGGGTTTCTACGGGAGGCTGCCGAGCTCTGGCGGCGAGAGGAGACACGAGGCCCCTGCCAGGCGCGCCCGGCGGCTCCCGCTTTGATTCCGAGGATTGCAGCCATCCGCGTGGTAATTCCAGCTCTGGTTGAATGTCATTTCTAATAACGCCATCTCTGGCGTGTAAACATCTGCACCCATGGCGAGAGGGGAGGCCAGGAAGAGAAGGCCAGAGGCGGAGGAGGGCAGACAGGGAGACGGGGTAGGGGGCTGGTGGACACACCCCGGGTGGAGCGGCTGCCCTCCTGGGGGCAGCGGATGCCCGACCCCAGCGGACCCCTGCGAGGGGAGCCTGCAGGGTCGTGAGGGGGGGGGTGAGTGAGGAGGGCAAAGAGGAGCGGGGCAGGATGCTGGGAGGGGCTTTTCCAGTGACAGAGACCCCCAGCTCAGCAGTGAGGCTTCTGACCACCCCAGCCACCCCCCGCCCTGGCCAGCCGCAGCTGGAGGGAGTCAGGAGGCTTGAGAGGGACAGGCAGGAATCTCTCCCAATCGCAATGCCCCTTCCATTCCAATTCTTTAGGCTGCCTTGAGCTGGTACTCAATAGGTGCTCAATGAATGCTGGTGGCTGGTCGACAGCAATTGTTCTCTCCTAGCCCCGTGCGGCTTCCTGCACAAAGTCAGGTCTCTGGGGATCCTGGGGCTGGGCCTCGGAGCAACTCCCTCCCCGCTGTCTACTCGGCCCTTCCATGTATACTTGATGCCAGCCTCAGGCTTCCCACAGCGGCTCAGCGCGGCCTCTCCATCCCCCCAGGGAGGACCATTTTCCACTCAGGCCAATTGAGGAGGAGGAGGAGGTGCAGAGGATGGAAGGAGCCTTCCAGAGCATAGCAGCATTTTCCCTTTAATGCACATAAAAATCGCTGGAGGCCCTAGTAAATGCAGAGGCCCAGGCTTGGGCCCCAGAGAGTGCCATTCCACGGGGTGGGGTGGGGCGGGGCCTAGGAACGTGCATTTTAACCAGCTCCACGGTGATTCTAATGCAGTGATTCCTGGGACCACACGTTGACAAACAGATGGTCCAGCCCCCCTCAGATGGGGACACTGAGGCTCAGACCAGCGACGGGGTGTGTCCCGAGTTGTAGGGCCCGGCAAGTCCCGGTTTCCTGACTCCTAGTGCAGAGCCCTCTTACTGCCGCCTGGGCAGCAATGTCATGGGAGGTGACACACCCTGACCTTGTCAGTTCTCAAGCAACTGAGCTGCTTGCTCAGCCCTGGGTGGAGGGGCCCTCTGTGGAAGCTTCCAGGTCTCGCAACCCCTGGGCCACCTGCTCTTTCACTGCCCGCTCCCAGCACCTTCTCCAAAGACCACAATCCGCCCAGCAGCCCCCTGTCCACCTCTCCGGCCTCGGGGTCCCATCTTCTTGGCTTCTCCGTAACTCATTGCCCCTGCTCCCTCCTAACCCCTCCCACTGCCCCCCAAACCCGAAGGTCCCGGCTGCCCCTCCTATGCACAGAAAAGCAGAATGGATCACGAAGAGGGGCCAAAAATAATGTCTTCCAGAGCCTGTTTCATTTTTAGGATGCAATAAAAGACATCATTAGCCATAAAGGGCCCCATGTGGACGGCGTCCTGTCATCGCAGTGGCCCCTCGAAGCCGGGCTGGAAACAAGCGGCTTCCCAGACGTAGGACACAGAGCAAGGGGACCAGACTCACAGGGGGTGGCGAGAGCATCTGAGTCGTTTAACAACCTCCATTCCCAGGACATTGTGAGATTCCACGACTCCTGGGTTCCAGGCAGGGCAGGCTCTGCCCCTGCTCCTGAGGAGGCCACTCTGCCCCGTGTCCCCTCTCCTAGTCCCTGGAGGCTGCAGGGCAACTGGTCTCCTGTCCTCTGCTCGGCATGGGAGCCAGGCGTGGTAACCTCCCCACCTCCCTCTGTCTAAACAGGAAGCTCGCATGGTGCTCTCCTACTCACCACCTCACAGAGGGCACTTAACCCTTGGCCCGTTCCAGCACGACATGGCTGCTCATGTGCCTGCAGCCCCCCTGGACATTAAAACCCTGAACTTGGGGCCGGCCCTGTGGCTTGGTGGTTAAGTGCGCGCGCTGCGATGCTGGTGGCCCGGGTTCGGATCCCGGGTGCGCATCGAGGCACCGCTTCTCCGTTCATCCTGAGGCCGAGTCCCACATACAGCAACTAGAAGGATGTGCAGCTACGACATACAACTATCCACTGGGGCTTTGGGAGGAAAAAATAAAATAAAAAAATAAAAATAAAAAAAAAAACCTGAACTTGATCACTGGGGCTGGGTTGGAGCCCTCACGATGGGGTGTGAGTGTCTGTGTGTCTATGTATGAGTGTGTGTGTGGTGTGTGTGTGTGTGTGTGTGTGTCTCTGCGTCTGTGAGTCTGGGAAAGCCCGTCCACCACGTGGATCCCAAATGCCAGCCCATGACACGGTCTTCAGCGACCTACCGCAAAATGAGACAAATAGGGGCAATTTGCGAATTTTTTGTTAAGTGAAATCAAGTCAGTTTTGAGAACATTCTCTACTCTGGGATTAAGATGCTAAAGGTTCTTTCTTGGATAAACAGATGGGGCAAAAAGATAGTAGTGTGGCGCATAAATGTCTTTTCTTGGCACAGTTTAAAAACTGCCCATTCTATGCCAGTTCCCCTACGTTCCTGGACATTTCCCTGAGGCTTGAAATCTGCAAGTCTGGGAACCACAGGGCAGGCAGTAGGAGCTCAAGGCCTGACGCGTGACACACAGTCGGTGCTCGGAAAATGACTGTTGAATGAATGAATCAATGATTGAATGAGTATGGGAGCTGGAGGTGGACTGCGAAAGGGTCCTCTCCTATTGATGTTCCCCAGAGTCAGGGACTCCCCACAGCTCTCCCATGTCCAGGCGGCTGGAGACGGGCCTGTGGAGGGTGGGGGAGGCCATTCTGGATGTTTCTGGGCAGGAGAGGTAGAGGACCCCCACTCCCTCTCACACCTTCCCACACCCCCAAAGCCGGGCAGTCCCGACACTGCCAGGCCTGACCCGTCCCCCACAGGCCTGTGACCCAGGCCAGGCTGCTGAGGAGACGGAGGAGACCCCTCCCCTGGCCGCCCCATGGCCCCCTGAATGCAGCCCCCACCTGCCTGGGAGTGGACCTCTCTGGCCGAACCACCGAGCATTCCAAGGGCTGCAGGGACGGCTCAGAGCAGGGGCTTCAGAACGGGAGAGGCCTGGCTGGAATCCCATATTCACGGGAACGTGTGACCTCGGCAAGTGGCTCCACTTCTCTGTGCCTCAGTTTCCTTCTCCATAAAGTGTGAAAAATAAAAGGACCCCCTTCCAGGGTTGGTGGGAGGACAACGCGGGCGAGGCGGGTGGAGGCCCAGGCAGCACACGGGGAGCACTTGGCTAATGTGCCCGCGAGCACTGTGGTCATTCTTGCCACGTCCCCTCACGTCCCCCTGCAGCCCCATCACGAGCTCGTCCCTTCCACTCCACCCCCACAGCCTCCGGCCCCAGGGCAGCACGCTGGCTGGGTTCCAGCACTGACGCCCCATTTGTGGGATGTGTTCGGGGAAGCTCTGGCCCCCCGTAAATCACCCCCAGGGTCCACTTCCACCTCGGCCAGCCGCTGTGCTTTGGGTCTGGGACTCCACGAAAGCTTCCCAAGTTCTGCCTCATCCAGTCTGACGTCGCATCCCTGCCCAGGACAAGCCACCGAAACCCTTCCTCCTGTCTCTGCCCACCTAGAAACCCCTACACGGCACAGGGGGCATCCCAACAGCCCCACTCTGGGCCAGTCCGCAAGGCCCGTCTCCCCCTGCCTGCCTGCCCCCTTTGGTTCCCCAAACAAACCTGGGCCCGAGTCTCCCCAACAACCAGGTGGGCTTCCCCTCCAAACACTGAGCTGTGTGGGACAGAGAGGCCTGGACTTGGGATCCACAAACAGACCCTGCGCCTCCATTCCCATCTGGGAGAACTCGGGCAGGCTGCTTTGCCTCTCTGGGCCTCGGAAAAATAGGGATGGCAGTTCACGAGCCCCGCCTGATCCACAGGGCTGCCGTGAGCATCTCAGCGAGCTGTAGCGGGGACCCTTTATTGAGCACTGACTGTGTGCCAGCACGGTCTCCCACACCCGCACCACACCACGCCCCTATAAGGGACAGCACTGGCCACTGTTCCCATTCCACAGGTGGCAACACTGAGCCTCAGGGTGCTTTTTAGGCCTCCAGGGTGGCGTCCAAGCAGGCATTATCACTACTACTCCAAACTTACTTTTCCAGAGGCTTCTGACAGGAAAGAGTCACAGCTCCAGCCCTGCTGAGCTTCTGCCCACAGGGAAGGGCCCCTGTGGGGTGCTAGCAGGTCCGAGGCCCCTGTGCCAGGCCCCCAAGCTCCCTCCAGATGAGCTACTAGATATAGGAGCAAGACCACCCTGGACCCATGAATAATGAACTAAATAGCAAGCGTCCCCCCTGCTGACAAAAAGCCAGAGATGCAGACCATCGTCCCTGTCCCCCAGCCACCCTGGTAGACCCAGCGGTTCTCAAACGGAAGGCCCCTAGGGTGTCAGCTTCTAGGCCTGGTTCCTTGACCTCGTGCTCACCCCTCCTCCCTCCCTGCCCCCGGGCACGTGCGGAGAGACACCCTCACCTGTCTGAGGGTCCGGACCCGGGCCGCAGATTCCACGTTCCTGGAGAGACGGCCCCATCACGGGTCATTTTCTCAGCCTGGGTCAAATCACAATGAGGGACAGGAGGGGCCTCACACACATCTGTGTGCTGCCTCCCATCGTTCAGGTGGGGGACTGAGGCCCAGAGAGGGGATGTGACACGCCCTAGGTCACAAAGGGAGATGGCAGCAAAAGCCAGTCCTGAAACCTGGGTGTCCTGACCCCCG